GGGGGGGGGGGGGGGGCAGTAACCGCGTGCACAGCAAACTGATTCTCGACGAGGCTGTTCACTTACCACCGGTATGTAGCCGTTGGTGGCTGCCAGGGGTGGATAGCAGAGGGGGATGGAGGCAGGCAAGAGAGGGTGAGACGCAGAAGGATCAGGATCAAAGCAAGGGGAGTGGATGCAAGCGAGGTACATTTGCAGCGAAAGGTGGCGTACCGAACGCAGTTTGAACTGCAAGTGAAGAGTTTGGCACAGTAGGTGCATTGATAGCGGCGGCCGGCAGGAGTGACAATGTATGTGGCGGTGACACCACGTCGGCCCGACCCGGGATTGGCGGCACTGTGGCGACGACGACCGGCAGCTGTGTCAGCATTCGTGGGCAGCTGGTTGGCTGAAGAGGGTTTGACAACAGAGCTTGGCATGGACTGGTGGATGGACGTGGATGAGGGTCGCACACTGTTGGCGTTGGGATTGGGCATGGGCATCTGACTCGCCAGGGCGGCCAGGCCCATCATCATTTGTGGATTGATGACGGGATACATCATGTTGAGGCCATAAGGGTTGAACATGTTGGGGGCGTTGGCACCGAGAGCAGAGGCGGCTACTGCCATGGTTGTGGCAGGCTGTACAGTACTTGCACTGGGCTTGACCTCGGGCTTGATCTGGTGTTGCTCCTTGGTGCTGTTTTGGTTGTTGTTTTGGACGCCATTGGCAGAGGCGGAGATCGAAGTCGGAAAAGATTGCGAGGCCTGGTTCCAAGAGTGCATGGACATGGCTTGCATTTGACGGGCGTATTCTTGATACATTTGCGTGGCTTTGGTGCCATCAATGGGGTTGAGTTGATTGGCATTGAGGGTAGGGGAGGACATGCTGCCGGCTACAGGGGAGGTAGAAAAGACAAGACAGTTTGAGTGGAGAGTGCTCAAAACAACAGGATATGGGTGTAAGCATGGGCATGTGGGGGGACGTGGGGGGGGTGTGGAGATTTCGGGGAACAGTCAAGACAAAAAGCAAGCTTTTGATTCCAACCGAGGGTGGGAAAGCACACTGGTGTTGACTGACCTGCCATGTTTTGGGAACCGGGAAGGGAGGACATGGCATGCCATTGGGACAGGCAGTTGTTCCAAGTGTGGGAAGCTAAGTAGCTCTGCATGGCTTGGGCTTGTGCTTGAGCTTGGGCTTGAGCTTGGGCTTGAGCTTGAGCTTGAGCTTGGGCTTGAGCTTGAGCTTGAGCTAGGGCCGACGATTGCGTTGCAAATGAAAGCAGAGCCGGTGTGTGGCTGATTGGGCTGGGGTTGCTGGGCCGACGATTCGGTGGTTGGCTTGGTATGCGAGGTAGAACTGGAAAGAGACTTGCTGGGCGACCGACGAGAAGGATCGCTCATGCTTGGTGCTTGGGGTCAGAGCACCACAGCCTCACCAACACCACCCGAGACTGGCACCTGGGTGGTGAGGTCAACTCGGGAGAATCAGATTGACCAGGGGCTGCCGATCAAGGTGGAAAGTGGATCGAGCTCGTGCTGCGACTGCAGGCTCGGGCAATGATAGTCGGAAGGAAGGAAAAGAAGCGCGATAGAATGGGAAGGCGTAGACTCTCAAAGCCACCAGATCAGACACGCTAAACCAGTGACCGTGTCTGCTGCCACTGTGCAAGTGCGGCCAACAAGGCAGCGAGGGAGAGAATAAAGTCTACACACTGTGGTGTGGCAGCGATTGAATCAATCGCACGGAAGGGGGTGGGTGGGGGGAGAAGAGGCAAGAAGAAAGAGAGAAGGAGAGCGCGCGTGTGTGTGTGCGCGCGCGCGTGCGTACCCGAATGAGGCCGGGGAGTAGCGGGTCAAGAACGACTGGTAAACGGCAGTCGCGCAAGTAATGATCAAGCAGAGGATGCAGAGGCCACAGGCAGAAAAAAAAATGAAGATGGAGGAGCGCCTTTATTCGTGTGTGTGCAGAAGAAACGAAGAGAGAGGTGGAGCACGAGGTGTCGCGACACGGGGAGTCGCGTGTGTATCTATGTCAGTCTCTAGGTATCTATCGTTGTTGTTTACAATCTATGTGAGCGGTTTGCCGGCCGTGACGCGCGTGGACGGCGAAGAAGGAAAATGCCGACTTGATCAAGTCCGACACATACACAGGAGAGAGAGCGAGCGCGCGAGAGAGAGAGCGAAGCGAGAGAGAGCGGGAGGGAGAGAGATGGTGTCGGTGGTACCGAGTGAGGAGTCCTGCATGATGATGATAGATACACCACACGTTCCCAGTAAGGATAGATGGATATTAGATATGGGTTTTATGGGAGCGGGGAAACCCGTTAAAGGGGAAATAGCAAAGGGTGGATAGCGAGGAAAGGGGGTGGGGGGGTGGGGGGATTGTTGTGGATGGGATTTGTGGGTGTGTGGGTGTGTGGGGACAAGCGTCCGAGCCGGGACGTGCCACGCTACTTGAGTCGCGTGAAAGCACATACAGAGATGTCATGCGTAAAAGGAGTGAGGAGGAGGAGGGCGGGGTGATTTTTACATGCACAGCGCTGTTCGGGCTTGGCAGGTGCAACGTTTGGAGAAAGCGGGAGGGCTATGAAATGAGGTTCAAAACGTGAAACGGAACAGAGGAAAGAAGAAGAAAGAAAGAAAGAAAGCAGTCGAGAGGGTGTTCGAAGGGACATTGCGAGGGAAGGAGCATGTTGAGCAGTGGTAACATGGGAGCTTGACGGGATCGATGATACGCAAATAGCGGTGGCGATGAAGTCATTGGTGATCGAGGCCGAGGTGGTAGGCGACTTTGTATATTGGACGGAGGAGTCTAGGGAGGAGGATGCGATGGTCAGGAGATGGCAGGTGCACAGGCGGTGATGGTGAGAGAGCTGCCGAGATGGTGCCGTGAAGATGATGGTAGAATGACACGAAACAAGCGTGGGCGAGCTCCAACACCAGAACATGACACTGACAGAAAAATAGGGGAGAGGATGGCGTCGAGTAGCTCTTGACAGACAGATGTAATTCACTAGTGGGCTCAAATCTGTTGTCTGGTTGGTTGGTTCGCTGCTCGACTGCCTGGCTCTCCTCGGTGTGAAGAGCAGCCATCCCATTACTGGCCATGGCCAGTGACAACGAGTCAAAAAGAACCCCCGGCAGCGGGTTTTCGGGTTTTCAGGTTCAAAGCAGTCTCCCTCTCTCCTTCATCTTCTTGCTCCTTGATCCCTCTCTTCTCGTGATACGAATGCACGCAACCGAACCCCAAAACACAAATTTGGCATGCCCTACTTTTGAATTTGACGGCCCCGTAAGTGTGGGTTGTAGTGTGTGTTCGGGAATTCAGAAGTGTGTCATCACGACGATGTTGATCGGTGTCATAAGAACCGTCAGGCCCTGCCGTTGATGCTGCAGTCCACGGATCTGTGTGGGTGAGGGGGGACAATCAAAGCAGCGTGTATTCCTTTTGGGGCATGCAAGGTCAAACGTGGAGGATGGAACACGGGAATCGAGTCGTAGGCACCAATCTTGGCATATGCCAAGGAAGAATCAAAGGTTGCCTCACGCCACTCGGTTCGGGGAGGGGGGGTGTGCAGGGCGCTTTGGGTGATCGATAGAGCACAGCTGCTGCACCGCCGGCAGGACAGAGCAGGAGCCGGTCAAGGCAGGAGCAAGTCGGTGCTCCTTCTGCGCTGACACGCACTTCTGCCTTTGGTCGGAACACTCGGTTCTGCTTGCCGTTGGACCCAACCGTTGACTGGAAGGGCCAGGGGAGGTTTTGCCACTTGTTGTGTTGTGGCTTGTGTCTTGTTTCTTTTTTTTTTCTTTTTTTTTGGATGTCATCGATTCAAAACTCTTGCTCAGAGGACGTGACTGACGTGTGAGGCAAGGCTCTTGGCATAATGGCCAAACACATGCCATGCCGCACGCACAACGAGTCACTCACATCGTGTCGCCCTGCGCGCAGAAAGCAAGGGCACTGGAACCCGGTGACGTCGCCCGTGTCTCCGAACGTGCGTCATCCCCACAGTGCACATGCCATGTCATATGTCCAGACATATTTGTATTTGGTTGCAAGTAGGAATGTAGATGGAGGAATCTTTGGTTGAGGGTGTTTTGATGGATGAAAATGACCTTGTTCACGTCACAAACACCTGCCCGAAATGACCAGAGCAGAGACACTGCAGGTCCGAGTGGCCGCCATATTGCGCTGTCGATCGCGTTCAGGGTTACGGTCAAGGCACCGGCCACTTGTGAATCGCGCTCCGATCCAGCAACGAAGGTGCTTCTAAAAGATCCCCAAAATGCCCGCGTCCGCCTCAAACTCCAAACTGGGGTGCGCTGCGACCCTCTCAAACAGTCAGGGCAGGAGGTCCTGGAATGATGAAAGATTTGATACGCAGCGACGCCCCCCATCAACGACTCCTTTTTTTTTTTCTGAGCATCATGTCCACCGTCACTTCTGCAGAGCTTTGTCAATCCGCAGGAACTCGAACCGCAGGATCTGTGTTTGTGCGCAGCATGAGGCACGCAGCGAGAGCGAGTAAAAGCCATGCGTGTGCGTGCGTGCGTGAGTGCGTGCGAAGAGACGAATAGACAGACAGACAGACAGACTGCTGACTCACTGATGGACAGACGGAATACATGCACTGATATCAGCTCGAGCTGAGCAGCAGCGCACAGAAAGAGAGAGCAGGACAGCTGTGTTGTGAGCATTCGCACTTTGGTCGAGCCTGGCCATCATCCCACGCCAATAGGTTGAGATTGGTTGTCCTCGATAAGGATGAAACTTTGGCACCTGCCAAATTTCTCACGTGTGTCTGACATTTGGTAGAAGTCAGCGAACCTAGTGAGCATACCAAACAGTAATAAGAGAGCGAAGCTAGTGAGCATGCTCAGCTATAGCTATGATACGCGAAAGCAGTGAATTGCTTTTCATTCAGCTGATTGAGCAATCGCGCTGCCACACACACTCTCTCTCTCGCTCTCTCGCTCTCTCGGTTTTTTTTTTTTTTTTTCATTTTTTTCTGGGAACGAGTCGCAGGTGCGCCGGGTCGTGGTGTGGTGTCGCTAGCGCAAGCCTTTAGAGCAACTGCCTCGTTGGTTTTGGCTGCAGATCGGGGTGCTTGACGATTGTGGAGCTAGCAGGCAGGTTGTGACGTCGACGCCGGCATGGCGAGGCGTGTTGTGGTCACGGGCCTCGGGCTCATCACCCCCCTCGGCTGCGGTCCCCATCCTCGTCTCTACGAGCATTTGTTGCACAAAGCTTCGGGAGTGCGTCAACTCCGTGACCGCGAAGCCTACGAACAAGCCAAGGTGCCCGTACACATCGCCGCCGAGGTCCCGGCCCTCGACCAGGACTCCGAGCTCGGCTTTGATCCAGCTCACTACAGCTACCCACTCCATCGACGCGCCCTGCCCCCTAACATCCAGTTTGCCCTTGCTGCAGCAGAGCAGGCCCTGTGCGACGCCCAACTCACCACCCGAGACCAGCCCGATTTGCAGGCTCATGCTGGCCTCGACCCGACGCGCGCCGGCGTGGCCGTGGGTACGGGCATCAGCGGCGTGCACGACCTTCTCAGCAATCAGACCCTACTCCAGGAACGTGGTCATCGCCGTGTGAGCCCCTACCTGATACCCAACGCCCTTGTCAACATGAGCGCGGGCCTCGTCTCCATCCACCACAACCTCCAGGGCCCCAACCTCAGCGCCTCAACAGCCTGTGCCACCGGAGCCCACAGCATTGGTTCGTCCCGTTTCCTGCCCTTTGCAGCCTAGCCGGAAGCCGCATGGTATTAAACTTTGGCCCCACACACCTGCTTCCTTCACATGCAGGCGACGCCTTTCGTATGATCAAATACGATGATGCCGACGTTCGTGTCCCCCCGCCCTCGGACCATGCCTGATCTGATCCCCCTTGCGTCATCTGCTCACAATACGTGACGCGCCCAACAGATCATGGTCTGTGGAGGCGCTGAAGCCTGCATCCATCCCCTCATCATGTCAGGCTTTGCACGGTCAGTACTACCCTCAGCGGGCTGGCCGATGGCCTCGACATCTGACCCGGAGCCACACCATAGTGCTTGCTGCTACTTTCGCATTGAACCTCGGCCCCCTTCTCAAATTGCTCCTGCTTCATCCGCCCTGTGGTTGACGATAGAGCCAAAGCCCTGGCATCAACCTTCAACGACACCCCCGATCGTGCCTCACGCCCCTTTGACCAAGCCCGCGCCGGCTTTGTCATGGGTGAGGGGGCTGCCGTGCTCATCCTCGAGGAGGAAGCCCACGCCCGTGCCCGCAACGCACCCATTTACGCCCAGGTTCTTGGCTATGGTGCCAGTGGTGAGTTCTTTTACTTTGAAGCAAGACTCGTCCACACCCGCCGCTGATGGCATTGGGCCCAGCGCCACGTGTGTTTCTGACAGCGTCTGGCGTGTTTTGTCTCGTGTTCATCAGGGGACGCCCACCACATTACGGCACCTCACCCCTCGGGTCGCGGTGCCATTGGCTGCATGCAAGCCGCCCTGCGTGAGGCTCGACTGGAAGGTAGCGACGTCCAGTATGTCAATGCGCACGCCACCAGCACCCCGATCGGGGATGAAATTGAGGGCCGTGCTATTGCTCAAGTCTGTGGCCCCAGCGTTGCCGTCTCCTCGACCAAGGTTGGTGCGGTTGTTTTTTTTAGTTGTTTTTTTTTTTTTCCTTGTGGTTGTTTTACATGAGTGCCCTGTTTGTGGCCACGACAGTGAGGCCGTGCATTTCACCGCCAAACCTCTGCTGACCCTGTTCCCTGCCTGCATGCGTTTCCATTGGGTTGACACGTGTATACAGGGTGCCACGGGTCATCTGCTTGGGGCGGCTGGCGCCCTCGAGGCAGCCTTTGCCATTTTAGCCTTGAAGCACCAAACTGCACCCCCAACGTTGAATCTTGAATCACCTGCCGAGGGTCTTGACCTCAACCTCCTGACCCAGGCCACGCAGCTCTCGTATGTGACACAATCCGCGCACGCGCAATGCCTCTGCCCATTATGTTTGCCGTTCTGCTGTGCATTGCCTGGGTGGCTTGCGATCCAGCCGAGATACGTCTCTGAAGTTCGATTGCAGCCTTTCCGCCTTGGCGATGGCCTGTGTTTACCATGTGCGCGAGGTTCCACCTGGGCACACGGATGGACTCATACCTTGGTTGGTCGCATGCAATGCCCACAGGCTAGACGTGGCCCTGTCCAACTCGTTTGGCTTTGGTGGAACAAACGTCAGCCTGGCCTTTGGCAAGGCGTGATCAGGAAGGGTGTTGGCTCAGCCTACTTTGCCTTCTTGACCTTTTTGGTCTCGGTTCCTGCATGCTCGCCGCTCTCGCGCTTCTTGTCGTGCCCACTTTTTTTCTTCTTCTTCTTGGCTTTCTTGGGGCCCTGGTCGACGTGGGCTGGACTTGTTTGGTGCGCCTCGGGGCCGGCGCTGGTCCCTTGGTGATTGTCGTTTGCTGCGGCCGCTTGGCCCACAAACTTTTGGAGTCGCGAAGCCATTTCCGAGTCGGAAACCTAGCAAATGAAATCAGTGTCATGGACCAACAGTCATCAGCGTGCCGCACAAGCTTACGGAGCGTTTCCTGCGCTCATCTTCCACCCAAAATAAAATGAAATACAGAGTCCTTGATGCTCCGGGCGGCCCTTTCATGTCCTGGACCATTGCTCCTCCCAGGGTGCGACTCACGTCTGCTTGGATAGGGTTGGTAGCGGTGGCAGAGGCAGCCGTAGTCGAGGCGCGTTGGCTGGCTTTGCGGGCGCGCTGGTCCGCTTGTGCTAGCGCGTAGCGCTCCTGATCAATGTATTTCTATTGGCAGGCAGGCCGGAGCCACGCATTGAGACGAGCAAAGTGGGATGCTTGGTCAGCACAGGGCTGTTGGGCGGGCGGGAGAAGACAACTTTACCTCGAGCGACTCGTTGGCCGACTGAAAGGAGTAGTGTTGGGTAATTTCGACGTCGTCAAAGGCGGCATACCCCTTCATCTTTACAACTGTTTGGTTCTGTCGCGCAGCGCCAGATCTAGACGCACGGGGCAGAGCATCGCATAAGGTGGACCAAAGACGCGTGTCATTCACCAGCCCAAGGCCTCCCACCAGCCAGGTCCGGCCAATCTGGGCAGCAGGCAAGGGCGTACGCTGTGTGCCATTTGGCCTGTGCCGCCCGTTCGCGTTCGTCGCGCGCGAGCTGTTCGCGTCGATCCGCCTCCACCTGTCGCTGCATGAAGCGCAGCCCAAGGATGTTTTTAGAAAGACCCAAGGCTGAGGCGGACGGTGAATCTGCCGTCTCCTCCACCACCGCCCCTCCAGTCGAGGCAGTGGTGCTCTTCTGTGCCCCTGCCGTCGCCATCACGACTCGTGTGTGTGTGTGTGTGTGTGTGTGTGTGTGTGTGTGTGTGTGTGTGTGT